AGTATTCCATTGTGTAGATGTACCACAGTTTTCTAATCCATTCATCTGCTGATGGGCACTTAGGCTGTTTCCAGATCTTCGCTATTTCCATGGATTTTTTAAGGAGAGTGGAAGAGAGAGGGAAAGACAGAAATATTAATGTGAGAGAAACACATTGATTGTTTGCCTCCTGCAGGAGCCCCAACCAGGGCCCAGACCAGGAGGGAGCCTGTAACTGAGGTATGTGCCCTTGACCCAGATCAAACCTGAGACCCTTTGGTCTGCAGGCTGATGCTCTATAAATTAAGCAAACTCACTAGGGCTTCACCAAGGTTCTAAAAATTATACATTTTTATTGATTTTAGAGGGGAAGGGAGAGGAAGAAAGAGACAGAAACATCAATGATGAGAGAGAATCATTGATCGACTGTCTCCAGAGAAACACATTGATTGTTTGCCTCCTGCAGGAGCCCCAACCAGGGCCCAGGCCAGGAGAGAGCCTGTAACTGAGGTATGTGCCCTTGACTCGGATCAAACCTGAGACCCTTTGGTCTTCAGGCTGATGCTCTATAAATTAAGCAAACCCACTAGGGCTTCATCAAGGTTCTAAAAATTATACATTTTTATTGATTTTAGAGAGGAAGGGAGAGGAAGAAAGAGACAGAAACATCAATGATGAGAGAGAATCATTGATCGACTGTCTCCTGCATGCCCTACATTGGGGATCGAGCCGAAACCCAGGTATGTGTCCTTGACCAGGAATCGAACTGTGACCTCCTGGTGCATAGGTCAACACTCGACCACTGGGAAACACAGGCTGGACAATTATTGTATTTTTTCATTACAGGTGATATTATTTTATATTAGCTACAGGTATACAACATAGTAATTAGACATTTATATAACTTCTGAAGTGATCCCCTCCCACTACTTCAAGTATCCACCTGGCACCATACATATTTTTATGACAATATTATTGACTACTAGAGGCCCAGTGCATGAAATTTGTGCACAGGTAGGGTCCTTAGGCCTGGCCAGTGATCAGGGCTGATCTGTGGGGCAATCAGAGGGCCCCCACTGGCACCCACGTTGGCTGGCTTGGCGCCACCCTCTCACTGGCCCCACCGCCCCCACTGCCGCTGGTTGCCTCCCTCTGGGGGGTGACCAGTGGGATGATCAGGGGAGCCCCTGCTGGTACCCACCTTGGCTGGCCTGGGGCCTGTGGGCAGCTCCTGCATTGATATCTGCCCCTGGTGGTCAGTGTGCATCATAGCAACCGGTCTTTCTGCTGTTTGGTTGATTTGCATGTTAAGGTTTTATTATATAGGATGTTCCCTCTGCTGTATTTGACACCCCCGTGACTGTGCTGTAACTGCTAATTTAACTCCTTAATCCTTTCACCTTTCTCACCCAGCCCCCAAAGGCCCCATCCCATCAGGCGGCAGGCAGTCTGTTCTCTGTCTATGAGTCTGTCTCTACTTTGTTGGTTGGTTTAGTTTGTTCCTTAGATTCCACATGTAAGTGAAAGTATATGGTGGTTGTCTTTCTTTGACCAGCTGCCTCCTCATTTCTCTTCCACATCTCTTAACCTTTCACATTTTTCATTCTGTGCTACGTATTGTGGGTTAAACATCACATTCGTGAGCTGAGAAAGAATGACCCAAGTGGAAGATAAAGGCCCCTCTCTTAACTCAAGTACGGAAGTAGGCAGGCTTAATTTAGCTACTTGTGGTTCTCAAGTGAGGACAGTTTTGCCCCAGAAGGGATACTTGGCAATGTCGAGAGACTCTGTGTGTGTGTGTGGCAAAATACACAGAACATCAAGTTTACTGTTTTAATCATTTTAAAATGTACTATACAGCATTTGGTGTATTCACAATGCTGACCACAGGGTGGGGTGGTGGTGGAGGAGGAGAGGCAGAGGTGGGACATTCCATCATAGGGGGGGACAGGGGAGGGAGGAAGAGGTGGGACATTTCATCATAGACACGGGGGAGGGGGGCAGTGGGAAAGCAGACGTGGAATATTCCATCATAGATGGGGGTGTGGGTGGGGGAACCAGTAGATCCACTGCTCAACTTCCCATCCTAATTCAGTCCTTAGGGTCTGGCTAGAGCAGCGGTTCTCAACCTGTGGGTCGCAACCCCTTTGGTGGTCGAACGACCCTTTCACAGGGGTCGCCTAAGACCATCCTGCATATCAGATATTTACATTACAATTCATCACAGTAGCAACATTACAGTTATGAGGTAGCAACGAAAATAATGTTATGGTTGGGTCACAACATGAGGAACTGTATTTAAAGGGCCAGAGGGTTGAGAACCACTGGTCTAGAGCAGGCCTAGTACTGTTCTGGGACCCAGGCTCGCCGTCTGGACCTCTCTCTGGCCCAGTGTTTCTCAGCAGAGGGTGATACCGGTCTCCCCCACGCCCAGCTCAATGCCTGGAGACACTTTTGGTTGTCACAACTGGGGGAGGAGAAGGTCTTGGCGCCTGCTGGGTAGAGTCCAGAGATGCTGCTAGACACCCCACAATGCACAGTACAACCCCCTCACCCGGACAGCAAAGAATTATCTGGTTCCACATTTCAGCAGTGCTGAGGCTCGGAAACCCTGGCTTAGCTGACTTTTGCCAGAAACTAAGAACCACCTGGGGCCACTCAATGTGGGCAAAGGCAGGCTTGCAAGTCTAGGGCGATTCTCCAAACGCAGCTTAGAGCGAGACACCCCTATTTTCAGAGAACTCTGCATCAGGGTCTGTGACAGTGAAAAGAGGTAAAGCAAAGCTGGAAGAGATAAACAGACTATAAAAAAGTTCTCTACCTGGCCCTGCTGACCTCTCCACTCACCTCTCACAAGGGTTCTCCCAGCTCCCTGTGCTCCAGCCGTGCTGGGCCGCCTGCTCTTTCCCCAAGGGTGCACCAACCACAGACTCTGCCCTTGCTGCTCTCTGCCTGGTGGTGGGTGTTCTGGGTGTCGCTGCTGTGTCTCACGCCACCCCTTCTCACACAGGCACCGCCTCCTCATCCTGCTGTGCTCTGACCAGATCCCATGCAGGCTCCTCCCCACTAGGTGTGCCTTCTCCCATCACCCTGTCTACATCCTTCTAAGCCAGTGGTTATCTGGGGCGTGATTTTTGTCCCCAAGGAGACACTTGGAATTATCCAGAGATATTTTTGGCTGTGACAGTTGGTGGGGGTGTATGTGTGCTCCTGGCATCTGTTGCCTGGAGGACAGGGATGCATCTTGACATCACACAGTGCTGTGGAATGAACTGTGTGTCTCTTCCCACAGCCCCAAATGCACATGTTGAAGCCCTAACCCACCTCGTGTGACTGTGTGTTGAGATAAGGTCCGTTGAGGAGCTATGAAGGTTAAAGGCGGTCATAAAGGTGAGGTGCTAATTCAATAGGATGGGTGGCCTTATGAAAAGAGGAAGCCAGATGAGATTGGGCACGTTCAGGGTGCATATAAGCATAACCAATGGACACAGACACCAGGGGGGTGAGGGCATGAGCAGGGTGGGGGATGGAGTGGGGGAGCAATGAGGGGATAAGAACACATCTGTAAAACCTTAATCAATAAAGAAAAACAATGTAAAGACGGGGAATGGAACCGTGACCTCCTGGTTTCGTAGGTTGATGCTCAACCCCTGAGTGACGCTGGCTGGGCTGTGTTGATTGTTTTAATATGTGGAAATATCTATGGCAAATACTTCACCCCAAAACTAAAAAATGTAAAAAGTCAAAGTGCAAAAGTGAATTTATTGACTTGGGTTCCAGTGAAACCAGGAAGACCTTTCTTACCAGAAACCCAATGGGTCAATGATACACTTAACCATTTATGGAGATATATCTCCATAAATGGTAAAGTGTATCATTCCCTTCTGATTCGTGTGGCACATTTTTCTAACAGTGACCAGAAGCACAAGCGTAGGTACAGAGAACAGAGCAAAGTGACCGAAAACAGGGTGGGAATTTTTACAAGTGGGAGGGACACCTTTGTAGGTGGAAAGATGACGCATTCAGGTTAATTTTTTTTGGGGGGGGGAGCTGATAAAAATAACCTGAAGGTCTGGCAAAACAAAAAACAAAAAACCACACACAAAAAAATCAGGATCAGAGAAACAGATCGGGGCACTCATCTTGGGGAAAGTGAAACCATGGGCTTCAATGAGATCAATCCAGACATGTGTCCAGAGAAAGGGGGGAGCCTGCCAGTGAACCCCGAAGCTCCAGCATTGGGGAAGCTGGAATGGATGGTGCAGGAGCCGTCAGAGAATGAGCAATGAGCAGAGAAAGGCAGTGAGAGGCGGGGAGGAAGTGGTCGTAGACGGCCAGCCGGGGAACAGAGATAAAAGCCTCAGACATGACCACATGGCAACGCGTCCACGGCACGTTCCAGGAAACCCATTAGCGTTTGTCATGAAAACAGCTCCGGAGGAAGTGGGGGCGAGAAACCAGTTTCCAGTGGTTGGGGAGTGACGTGAAGGGGCACAGCCAACCGGGGGTGTGGGTCCTTTCTCAGGGGAGTCGGGCTCCATACCCAGGGACCTGTAACACCAGGGAGATGGACTTTCTCCTGAAGAATTGACTCCATGTCTGAAGCTTTAACTCTTGCTTCTTTTTATTGAAAATAAGAATTATGACTATTATTATTTAAATGAAGAGTTCTGCAAGTCCCCCTTGCATTTCCTATAAAAATACCTCACCTGCTTTTTCTTATATAAAAATACTTTATTGGAACATCAAGTCCTTAAAGCAGTTACAGAAAATGGGAAATGATGGACATAAAGACACTTGCTAATGTTCCTTATTTTCATCCATTGAATATATTTATATAAAATATGTTTTTATTCGTCTCAGAGAGGAAAGGAGAGGGAGAGAGAGACAGAGAAACATCAATGATGAGAGAGAATCATTGATCAGCTGCCCCCTGCACGGCTCTGACTGGGGATCTTGCCCCACAACCCAGGCATGTGTTCTTTTTTTTTTTTTTAAATTTTATTTTTTATTACAAAGGGTATTACATATGTGTCCATTTTTCCCCCCCCCCCTAGACAGTCCCCTAGCCTCCCCTATCCCCCAGTGTCTTATGTCCATCGGTTATGCTTATATGCATGCATACAAGTCCTTTAGTTGATCTCTTACCCCCCTTCCTCTCTCCAGTTCCATCCATGCCGTTGCAAATGGTAAGAGTTCCTTCCTTTTTAGAGCAGCATAGTATTCCATCGTGTAGATGTACCACAGTTTCCTAATCCATTCATCTACTGATGGGCACTTAGGCTGTTTCCAGATCTTAGCTATGGTGAATTGTGCTGCTATGAACATAGGGGTCAGGCATGTGTTCTTAACCAGAATTGAACCTGGAACCCTTCAGTCCGCAGGCTGATGCTCTATCCACTGAGCAAACCCAGATAGGGCTGAATCTGCAACCTTCTAGAGTATGGAAAGACACTCCAACCAACTGAGCCCTCCAGCCATAGCAGATGTTCTATTTTTTTAACAGCCAAATAATATTCCACAGACTCATTGATAGAGGACAAGCTGACAGCTGTCAGAGGGGAGGGTGGTTGTGGGGCTGAGTGAAAAAGATGAAGGGATTAAGCAAAACAATAATAACAACAAGAACAACAACAAAAACCTTACAGACATTGACAACAGTATGGTGATTACCAGACCGAAAGGGGGTGGGGGTAGGGTGGGGGAAGGTAGGCAAGGGTAAAGGAGGGACAAATGGTGATGAAGGAGACTTGACTTAGGGTGGTGAACACACAATGCAACGTACTATTGAAATGTAGCCCTGAAACCCATGTAATTTTATTAACCAATGTCACTCCAATACATTCAACAACAACAACAAAATACTGAGAAGCTAGAAGAGACAGTGGGATTTTCCTGCAGGAGACATTTAGCCTCTTCCTCCCTCCTCCTGCCTTGGTTCATCAAACTCCACGCAGTTGTCCCCTAGTTTCCTTCCAACATAGAGGTCACCCAGCTCAAGGTCAAGGTCAGCATTCAGCTTCACCTATGGCCACCACATCTCTCGGTCATTCGTCCAGGGCTCCTTGCCATCTTAACCTTCTCCTGCGTTCCTGACTCGAGGCCCTTTTTGTCTTCTTCCTCAAAAGCCGGGTGTGGGCCAGGAGGCACATAAGGGCCACCAGGACCAGGAGGCCCAGGCCAACCCGAAAGAGGTTCTCCGCCGTGTAATCCCAGGGGATCAGATCTGGGGTCAGAAGAATGGTGATCACAGGCAGGAACAGATCAATAGCATCTCATCCTGTCTCCTTCCCAGGCCCTAACTGGTGGCCCTCAGACTGCATGCAGCCCACACGAATATTCTTGTGGCCTGGCCAATATAACGGTATGTAAGAAACGTTTTAATAAAAATTTAATAACTTAATTTTTATAATATTCTGTTATACATAATTATTAATAACAAACTACAATGTTCGCTAATGACTGATTACTATAATCGAGTTGCATTCATTTCCCTTACGCGTCTTACGCACAGGCGCACCATTTCTCTCCACTAATACCAGCAGCAAATATTTTAGCAGCTGATGGCCCCGTCATTAGTCTTGGACTGACTTGTTTGGTGTGCGCAACAGGAAATGTTTTGCTTTTGGAGAACAAGAAAAATAGGTTTATTTGCATGACGCTTATGAATTTGTGCAGTTATTCAGTGTCTAGTAAGTTCATGTTCAAGAAAAAAATATTATTTTTTATTAGAATGTTCTATTATTTTGTGTTAACGATGACTCATTTATTTCAGCCCTTTGTTATTCAGCACGTCTCTATCGAAATAAGCTTACGTTTCTATGAAAATGGAAACTTTTGTTTTTGTGTGGCCCACACCCACTTAAACCTTGTTAGCCTTTGAGTTTGACATGCTTGCTCCAGAGCCTGCATCCCCAGCTGCTCGCTTACCTTTCCGGAGTCCCTTCTTTGTGGTTGACCGGTGGGGTTCCAAAGAGTCTGCAGGAGATAAGGAACATGGATAAGGGAGGAAAGGAGATGGTGTGGGCCTCTCTCCTCCCCTTGGACACACCCCATGGCATCCCAGTGCTTTTCAGGGTCCCCTACCCACCCTCCAGGCCCCAGCGGCTTCATCTGGCAGGTGGAATGGAAGAGTCAAAAGGCAGAAGAACAGGAGGAAGAATTCAGCTCTAGGCTAGGAAGCGAGTGTCTTTATGCCAGACCTGTCTTCTCGCTGAGCCTCAGTTTTCTCAGTGAGTCAACCTGCATCATCTCTTCTTCCCCACACACAGGAAAGATCAGGCTTGCCACTTTCTCAAGGTCCTACATGAGCTGCCCCAGTCCCACCCCATCCCCACTGGACATGATTTCCAGTCCCCCTGGCCTCCTTAAAAAATTGTTTTTAAAATTTTTGTTTGTTAATCCTCACCCAAGTATATTCTTTCCATTGATTTTTAGAGAGTGGGGAAAGGGGGGAGGGCGAGAGAGAGAGAGAGGAGAGTGCAACATCTACCAGCTGCCTTCTGCACACCCCCTACCAGGGATGGTGCCCACAAGCCTGGCATGTGCCCTTGACCGAATCCAACCAGCAACCTCCTGGTGCACGG